GTTTATCTCAAGGAGTGTCTGTTCCCAAGGCAAAAGATCGTGAAATCCAAATAGGATCCCAGAAGCCAAGGAGTACAAGTGGTGGTAGACATGCAGAAAGCAAGGGGGGAGTGGTTTCCAAGTAAAATGAGAATGTTGATTGGCCTGACTCTGGCGACAGAGCCAAATTACGAAAACATGAGGACTTGCTGCACCTGAAGGAGGCTGGGTTTTCAGTCAGAAACCACTATCTCATGTTTATAGGAGACCATTTGTGATTCTATTGAAGTACCAGGTCTTGCTATACCAGTTTTTAAAAGGCCTCTAAGCTGTTGACGGGTCCTATAGGAGCTGCTGCACATGTAAATAAGGCAGGCACTCATGTTTCAACTTCTATGTAAGTGATTATTCAGTTCTGACAATGAAAAAAAAGTAGAGATTTACAATTCCGAAACGAATTAATTTCATTAATTGAACAAGTTGGGTCTTTGTCGCTCTTCAAATAACTGACTAGAGGAAGCATGATTGTAGCGCGAATAAATAATGCTTTAGAAACCTGTTTTGACAAGGTTAAATCAATTTATATATATATCTCATATGTAATCAACACAGATAGATGTGGAAATATTAACTGACATAGAAGTTTTATGACATAAGGGTTAATGGTCAGAGGTTCATAGAAAATATTCAAGCTGACCAAGGACGCCTTAAGAATATAGTGTAGGTGAGCCTTGCATATTCCTGAAAATGGAAGGGGTGAGGTTGGGGTGATGGAGGTGTTAGTGAATGCAGTCATTCATGGGCTCTTCATGTGGGGAGAGCCCTATGAAGCTTGATTTTTTAGGGAGTTTAAATTACCTTTGTGAATTTTTATATATAGAGTTTATTTAGAGCAGTGATTCTCAACTGGCGGGGGGGACGGGGTGGGTGCGGATCACAGTACTCCCTCCAGCCCCTCACCTCGGGAGTGTTTGGAAAGTTGTGGGACATTATTTTTCTCAGCGATTGGGGCATGTTACTACCTGAGATTGAGGAGGGGGATGAAAGGATGGGAAAGGAGCTAAGATGTATGTTGACTCAGCAGGGAGTGAAAACAGTCTTGCCTAATAAAGACCTGTCCCACACAAAATGCCAAAAGTATCCTCACTAAGAAATGCTGATTTAGAGTAAAGGATATTCCTGTAAGTTGAGCAGAACCATATAAGTCATTGGAAGTTTCTCCTCTTCGGACTCAGAGGATGCATGCCACATATATAAAGAATAAGGTGGATGGTACTATAATCCTGTAGAAATTCTGGAGGTTTCTACACTTACTATTTTATTAAGTTAAATTATCTTGTGGATACTTTTACTCAGCTGCTTAACTGAGGGTAAACTTTTATCTCCCAGTCTTCAGAGTAAAACTAACAGCGGGGATGCTGTAGATATACATTCCCCAAATCTAACACCTGTTGGCTATAAAAGTCAATCTAGATCATAGAGGAGGCTGCACCTATAGCTACACCTAAAGCATGTTCTCAGCAGCTACTGATCACGTAATTCAATGTAAAATAAAATGACACATGTTCAGCATTCTTCATAACAGCACAGTGTAATGAAATCCAAAAGATAATTTGTAGTTAGTGAGGAGAAAAATCAAGCTTTATAATCGTACTACAGAAAAAAACTAATTTTGTCCCTCTCTTTTTAAAAGCAGATGTTGAATAAATTCTTGAAGATGTTAGGAACATGGATGGGGGGTGAGCAGGGGGTTGAAGGAAGGAAAGAAGCCTTAAGTTGCTAGGAACCTCTCATAAGGAAGGAACATTTACTAGCTTTCTTTCAGTGTTTTATGTTACTGAGATTACAGATGATTCACTATGATTTCTTGAGCCATTTCTGACATTTGTCTGCAAGTTTAGTTATTTCTAGGACAGTTTGTTCTTTTGTCTGTCATTTACTGGATGCATTCTTTGTAGTCAGTATGCTTCAGTCAAGTGTGGAAAACATGAAAAGTTCTATCCAAGGTGATAAAGTCGCGGTAGCTGTGTGAATAAAATACTGCGGGGCCCAGGGAACACATTCTAGCAAACCAACTCTGGCGTTTGATCACAGTATGGAAATCACTTCCATTACCTGGAAATGAGACAGAACAACGTCTCTACTCTCCCACTAGACCCACAGCGGTGGTTAATAAGCTAGGAGGCCTCTGGGATAAATAGACAATGGAATTTTTAAATTCACTCTTAATTAGCATATGGTATGTTGAGAGTCTGCTATATTTCTCTGTATGTAGTCAAATGCATGCTTCACGTCTTAATATTCTAACTATAAAACCTTCTACAGTAATTGAATTACAGACAAAAAGGCCCATTTGCTGTAGTTGCAATCATTATGTAGTGAAGCAGTTAATTTTGAGCAAGGGTGAAAAGATGTCACATGGTCGCAGACAGAATCAGAAAGAGAAAATGACTTTCCACTGCAGCTTATTGATTTGGTACCTCAGAAGCCTGCTACTTTGTTCTCTATTAAATTACATTTAAAACATCTGATTTTAAAACACCTTATTGGCTTTCTTTTTTGTTTATAATACATGTCGAAAACACTGAAAAGCATGAAGTCAAAAATGGAAATCACCCTCAATGCATATACTACTCCATATCCATTGTGAACACAACATTTTGATGTTTATCCTTCCAGTGTCTTTTCTATGTATAGATACACTTCTACAGATTGTTTTCTTCTAAATTAGAATCATGGGGTATAAATGTTGCTATAAATGCATTTAAGGAAAGGTGGGGTTTTTTGTTTGTTTGTTTGTTTTTTAATTTCTTGATTACCTAATTTCTATGCCCTTTCTTGTTGAGAGTTTTCTTCCTATTTAGTGTTTTATTTGTATTTCACAAAGATGGTGGGATTCAGGGTTTGATGCACTCTGGAGCTGTACATTTTAGAAATGTATGCTTTTTTGTGTGTGTTCCCTATATACCTGTAAAATCACTGCCATTTCGTAAGGATGGGAGGCAAAGTTTTCTTTTTCAGGGAAAAGAAAATGGCTATTTTGCTAGGGTATTGTAAGGATTTATTAATGACAACATTTGCCTGATGCTGACAGAGTGACATGATGATTATCGTTCCTTAATTCTGCTACCTAGCATGTTACTTGCAGATACTGTGAGTCACTGTGTGTTCACATGCTTAGGTGGTTAATGCTACTTTCAAAGTCTCAAAAGTTAGATTTGGCTTTTGGGGTCATGTTCAATCAAAATCATATTTTATGAAAGCATGGAATACTTTACTATCCAAGTTTAGATAGCAGTTCTCTGGTATCTATCAATATATCAGCTCTACACTTTGGGAGTGTATGTATATGTGTATGTGTGTATGTGTGTGTGTGTGTGTGCGCGTGTGTGAACTTTAAAAGCATAGCTCTTTTCCATGGAAGGTGTTCTTTTTCTCATTGCCTGAAAAAATCCTATTGTTGTAATGGGGGATTTTAACCTAGGATTACAAATCTTTCTTAGCGTTCAGTTAGATACTACTGTTTCTCTCTACTAATTGAGCTTTAAGGGTTATTAATTACCAAAGATAAGAGCTTAACCCCATAATTTTACCATGTTAATGTCTCTTGTTTCCTCCTTATATTAAGAGATCCACAACCAATAGCTGTTGAAGTTAAGAAAATATTTTTGAATAAATGGTACAATGCTATGGTATTTATCTCCCCTAATTGTTTAAAATGGACCATAGAGACACTAGGAATATTTTTATTGTTTTAAAATAGACTTGCTTCATTATTGAAACCACATATTGCCATTAGACTTTTGCTGAAATAGAAAATGCAGGTTGAGAATGGATTTCATTTTAAAACCTTAAACAGGTTTAGGTTTAAGGTCCTCAAACTTTTTTCTCATAGTTGTAATTATGTTTTACTGAGATAATGGTCCCTGTCCAAGGAGATGCTGAATGACTCTCCAGGACAGTCTGACATCACACAGGTGGTCAAGTGGATGCCGTTACTATGACAAGTCCTCATATCGTCAGAGCAGGCAGAACTCTCCCAGGCAGCAGCAGTGGCAGAGCATAAGCAGCTACTTCTAGGCTGACGGCTAAAAGCTAATAACTCACATGATTGAATTTCAGGGAACATTTTTCCCATATTTGGGAGCAGGGGTGCCTAACTGAACTATCAGTGTCAGCTATGAAAAGTGAGAAAAATGCTTTTCCAAGATCAGAGGCAGATATTGTACTTGGAATTTGTTCAAGAAGAGTAACTTTGCAATTACATATATACTTTTAACTGCAGTATCTTGTTATCTGTCTTCAAAGGAAAACTGCTTGTTGATAGTTAGGCTACTTCCTGCCTTTAATCTTTTTTTCTGACTATGGACAAAGGGCGGGGTGGCGGGGGGCGGCGGGGGGAAGCAGTACCACAGTAGTGGTGATCCTTTTTTATGAGTCGTTTTAAAACACCCGCAACTGATTTAGGCATTTTAGAAATTAAAATTGGCTCTGGTAGAAATGCAGTTCTAATTCTGTGGTAGGGTCACTGCAAATGGCTTCCAGATAACTTCCTGCCAGATCAGGTCAACGGTGTAATCTTCAGAGAAAAAGGAGAATGGAAAATAAGAATTTATGTGCTTTAGGAGCCAGGCCCTTATATAGATTGATAGGAGGCTACCAAAGTGGAGAAGCAAGTTTTAAGAAATAGGAAACCGTCCTGACAGGAGACAGTATCCGACAGGGTGAAGACACTGATTTGTCAGCTTGACAGGTTCTTGTTCCTGGCACTGGCGTAAAGCTACCTCGATCCGCTTAACCAGAGGGTATTTAATCAGGTGCTTGCTACAAGGAATGTTGAAGGTGGTAATTTGGGTCCACATTAGGCTAGGTGCAAAGTCACACTTGAACAACCTAACCAAGATGATTTTTCTAAAAGAAATTGAAGGAAGGAGAGGGAGGAAAACTCATCCAGGATTGAAACTCATCAAAGTTTGCTGAAAATTACGTGTAAAAGAAACACCATTTCCTTTCTTTCTCAGCCTTCATTTTTCTTCATCCACTCTTGCCAGTGATGCATCTGTAAGAGGATAATGCAGGTTGTCCTGCCATGAGTAATGGATCCTGATTTCCACTTTTCTGATTGCTTGCTATCTGCTGTAAGTAATGCCTTACAGAAATACTCCCGGTGTCCTAGAGCATTTTGAGTAATACTGTGTTTTGGGCAAAAGTCCCCCAAACCATGGAATCCTTCATTCAACTTTCCTGATTTTTGTCTTTATTGATTGATTTTCAGTTAACTCTCAGTGCAGGTTTTTGCTCTCCTACATTTTGCGGCCACTAGGTTTTTTGTTGGTATGTACTTTTTCTTTGAGATATTTTATTCTTTCAAATAGCAAGGAACCTGGAGAATTGTAAGTTTCTCAAACAGATCATTTCTTGGCTGTTCCATTCTGCAGTGATTTCTTTCATTAGGATAATAGAATAAAATTGCCCTTTAGAAGCTTTTCCTATATTGATCCAGTTCATTTCATAGGCTGAAAGTGGAGGAAGAGAAAGAAAGAGTTCTTTCTATTATTTGATTGTAAATAAACCTGGCAATTCTGAATTTTTTAAATGGCGGTTTTCTCATTTGTCTTACTAATAATACAACTTTAAAGCAATCTCAGGTTTGTAATTCAGTAAACAACAAACCAAAATACCCTAATAATAATGATAATAATTTGCTCAAAAGGGACCAAACTTTATACCAACTCAGAGAATAAGAAGATTTAATTTTAAACCCAACTTTTTGTGAACTTACGTTTACAGATCTTTAAATTGATGGGGTGGTCTGTGATTTCTAAGGTCCCTTTCAGTTCTAATGTGCAGTTTTATTAGCCAACCCAAATTTATACCTCGTAGAATCCAGTGTCTAGAAACAACCATGAGAAATCTTCTGGTTTGCCTCTCTCCATTTTAGCAGTAGTAGAGTCCAATTTTTATATAAGAATAACCATTCTTCCCCCCACCCCTGTTCCCTTTTTTTTTTTTTGTGGTACGCGGGCCTCTCACTGTTGTGGCCTCTCCCGTTGCGGAGCACAGGCTCCGGACACGCAGGCCCAGCGGCCATGGCTCACGGGCCCAGCTGCTCCGCAGCACGTGGGATCTTCCCAGACCAGGGCACGAACCCGTGTCCCCTACATCGGCAGGCGGACTCCCAACCTCTGCGCCACCAGGGAAGCCCTGTTCCGTTTTTAATGTGTTTAAAAGAATTTCATCTTTTTTGATGATAGGTACCTGGCCAGTAATTTCTGACTGCAGTATGTTTAGGGAGCATTCCAGACAGGACTTGAGAATTACAGTTACAGAATTCCCAAAGTTCGGTAGTGGTTGTGGTTCAGATACTGTCACATTTATGAATGAAGTAGTTATAGCTCTTGCACCTGTTGCACCTCCCACATACTTTGCTTTATCCTACCCAGGGTGTGAGGTTTGTAGTAGCAGAGGAGAAATTAGGATTTAGGGATCCATATAACCATTTGGTAGCAGAGATACCTCTTAGATGAATCTCAGAATTTTTGAAAGTTGTTATAACATATGGACTCCAGGATTTTTGGGGAATACTAAGTAAAGCAAGTTTTAGTTATGAAATACTTAACTAATCAGCCAAAGAGTTGGCGGGAGGGGAAAGTCACCCAACAAAATATTTATCTGGATTCTGTCTGTTAATATTCACTTCTTATATAAAAATCATTCAGTGAACTCAAGGATATTTAATAATACAACTCTTATAAACTACCGAGGTAAGGCAATGATTTAATTGTGGTGCAGGCTCATAATGCTAATTACAGGGAAGTTAAACTGTACTCAGTCACTTTAGCAGTACATGGGTGCATGTCACTTGAAAAAGAAAATCACAGGTTAAAGCTGACAAAGGTAATCATCACGTGTTTTACTTCTGAGGCCCTCTTGATCTTCAGAGACTCAGTAGGAACCTTTTTAGTTTAATCCCATTTTAAGAAATGCATGGCGACAACTGCAGTTTATCATTTTCCCAAATGCTTCTAGAGCCATCCATGTACGGACAAGAAGTATTGAACAGCAGTGTACTATGGCAGCTGGACCACTTGAGTCTGAATCCTGGTGTCCATTGTACTAGTTCCCTGGCTGTTAGCCTGGGCAAGTTTCCGTCTGGGCCTCAGCTGCTTTATCTGTAAAATGTGGATAATTAGGCTTCCTACTTCATAGAGTTGTTTTGAGGATTAAATGAACTAATGATTGTAGTTAGAATAGTGTCCTGATGCATGATTAAGTCCAGAAAGAAAATGATAAAAGACATACTTTGTGCACATGAAAATTCTATTTTCAGTTTTAAATTACAAGTCTTTCCTTATTTACAATAAAAATGTAGTTAACTAAATTGAAAGTAAATGTCTGAAATGGAAGTGTTTATTATTGTTTCTATTACACAGCATTCTTTTTGACTTTGTAAATCCTAAATATTAGGTATAACATATTTAAATGGATATATGATGACTAGATTTCTATTACTATAAACCTGTGGTAATTTTTAGGTAGAAAAGTAAACATTTTAAACTGTCTGGAAGTTAGGTGTTGAAAGAATAGTGACAGTGGTTGCCTGGGCTTGTCACAGTTAATAATTTAGCACTTTCAGTGGTGAAGGACAGCCCCCTTTGTCTACTGTTCATGTATTAGGTACCTATAATTCCCCATTAATCTTTCCATCACCAGGGAGCTCTTCAGTGTTCCAGCTCGTTCCCCTCTTGGCACATGAATGGTTTGGATTGATGTGAAGAGACCCAGGATTTAAAGTCTCAGATTTAGCCACATTTATTACCTGTCTGAGCTGCATATTGTGGTGTTCAAATTTTCCAGTGTCATAGGCAGAGTTTTGCTCCAGATTCTCCAGGCTTATGTGATTCTTAATAAATGCAAAAGTAGGGCAAAGGTGATTTAATCCTAACCAACCTGTTAGCAATCTGAATCTCCTGGTCTTTGAGAGTTTAACATCTCCATAAAAAAGCATAAACTCAATTATTAATAAAGTAAAAAAAAGTTACTAGGGGCCTCCATGGCCTTGATTTGAAGCTATTAGAAATTGACTTTTTCTTTTAAGGGAAAAAAATGCTTCCTATACACTCTCTAAAAAGATGTTGGGAAGTCTTATTTAAAAGTTGGAAGAGTTATTTTTCCTTACTATGGAATTCTAAGAAGCACATGGAAAATGTTTAAAATGTCAGTAATTAAAAACAACTTAATGAAGATACACAAAATTCAAAATTGTATTCAATTTTCAAATTATAGAATCCAGTGTTAATTAATGGTAGAAGGGGTTGGCATAGACTGTGAGAAAAGCAGTGTGGGAAGAAATATACAAAACAGCTATTGTATTTTTTAAAGACCTACCTATACAGGTGAATTGTCACCAGTGTAAATGCTGTGTGAGGGGCTGTGAAAGCTGATTTATTGTGTCTTTTATCTTCCTGGTAGGAGATGAGAGAGGGGAAGGAAGGCCTATATACAGGAGAGGGGGGACTCTGCAGTGCGGCCTGGTCTCAGCTGGAGACATCGAGACAAAACTCATAGCAGAGAATGGTAATAATGGGTCTTCAAGGTCATCTAGACCAAGGTTCTCATGCTTGAAGACCTTCCACAGTTTTCCTACTTAATCAATTACTAATTTTGTCCTTGATTCGGGTCTGGTTTTGCATCTTGCTCTTTTTGTGAGGTGAAAACCAGGACTAGATGCTGGGCCTCCTTACTCTGAATCTGCTACTATTACTGGTTCCATAGTTCCCATCTTCTCTCGATGCAAAAACTCTACAAGCAAGAGAAAAATGAATATGAGAAGCATGAAAATATTACTACACTTTATACCTGTCTCAGATCATCACTGACCAGTTTCTGTGTGAATGCCAACAAAATTCCAGTTCTGTGTTCCCTTAAGCATCACTTTTCCCTATAAGGTGCCAGCCAATTCTTCTTAAGTCAAGTCTGAGGTTTCAGGAATAGCCAGCCACCTGACTTCCTTCCAGCTACCTCATCCTTTGGAAAGGTGCAGACCCTAACCCAGTCTTAAATAACAAGACAATGAGGATCTGAATAGTTGTTTGCAGGATCTTTTCAAAGGGCTATTTTTGCTGGTGCCCAGAGTAAGAGAAGCCAGGTGAGAGCTGGCAAAGTTTGCAGTGACAGGGAAATCCCAGAACCTGTAGTTCACCCCTGGCAGTGCCCTCAGTGATGTGGGTAAGTTTAGCCTTTAGTTAAAGGGTTAACACTGGGACGAATTGAGATCATCAAAGTGAATAAAGAGAATTGTCTGAATTCTCCAATGTCTGTTATAATTGCCAAGTATCTGGGTGCCGAGAATGTCTTATTATTGCGTACTAAATATTCCCTAATTGTTTGGACCATGTCTATTGCACTCTATTGTGTGCTATCTAGTTCCTAAATTGTTTCATTATTATATAGATCTTATCTCAACAAGTCCTTTATTGGTCCAACTCATCTTTTATAATCAGTGTCATCTATCTTAATCCTAGTGCATTAGTAGGTCCTTAAAAGGCTGATTTGGGATCAGGAGGTCTCCCTAGAGGAGCAACATAAGAGCTGAGGAGGAATTTGCCTACCTCTCAGGAACAGATTTGGTAGTCACTGAATCCAGACAGCTGGGATAGCGCTGCAAGCAGAATTCTGTGACTCCTCAATGAGGCTTACCTTCCAGTTTGAGAAATGCTTTAGTAGGATATAAATAATGTGCCTGATATTTTCTGTTAGCTTGTGACTTTGGGTACACATCAGACAATAACAGGTTTTATTTATTTTTTTCCCTAAAATCGGAGTGAGCAAGCATATTTTATTTACTCCAGTTGGTTCTTTTTCAAATTCTTGCCCAAACTTACTTTTATTCTAAAACTGTATATATTATTACATATTTTAAAATCCAGTAAATACTTGGACATATGTAAAAAACCTCTTTTTGTAATAAATATGTTCTGAATTTTTGTTTATACTTAAAAATATTTGCAATAACCACAGGAAGTCTTATGCTTCTCTAGGATTATATGGCAGATTTGTAGTGCCCTTCCCTTACATGTTGTGTTGCTCGTGGAAATGACAAGCTTTCATGGTATGTGTTAAACTGTAACCTGCCTAT